CGCTTCGTGGCCCCATAGGGAGCTCGCTCCAATGGCAGGGTCCGCATGCGTCAACGCCACCCACGGCAGCGTTTCGTGGGACCACAGGGAGCTCCACCGAAGGCTCCAGTGGTAGAGCCGCATGCGCGGACGCCACCCGAGACAGCGCTTCGTGGCCCCATAGGGAGCTCCACCGAAGGTTTCAGTGGCGCCGTTCGCATGCGTCAACGCCACGCGGGACAACGCTCCGTGGCCCCAGAGGGACCTGCACCGAAGGCGGCAGTGGCGCAGGTCGCATGCGTCCCCACCCACCCAGGACAGCGCTTCGTGGGCCCGTAAGGGGCTCCAACGAAGGTCCAAGACAGCCCGCTACAGCTCCAAGATGGTTCTAACATGGCCCGACGCTTGCCTCCAAAATGGCCGCGCCACGAATTCAAGACGGCCCTTGACTGCCCCAAGACGGGCCCAAGACCCCATACGGCTCGCAAGACTCCCGCATATAACCTTGTTGGGGATGTGTTAGGGACAATCGAAAGCTGCACGAAGGCTGCTAAAACGGCCCTCCCGGAAAGAACAAACAACTTCCCCGGAATGAGGCGCGGCACACGAAACAATCAACGGGCTTCTTCCCGGAAGGACGAGGACAACTTCCCAGAAATCGATTTTAGCAACCACGGATTTAGCAGCCCTTGCCCGGCTTCCGAAACAAAGTTTTGCATGCAGAACGAACGAACAAACAACGCCATGATGCATGCACGGAGCAGCTTGACACGGTTAACCAACAAACAAGTCAAATAAGCAAGCACGGATGTACACAAATATAACAAACTAGAACCACGCGCGCGCTTCGCGCGCGCTTAGGTTCTGTCGAGTCACAGACCCAGGAATCGTTGCGAGAAGAAATTGGTGACGCGAAGCGTCTTGGGGGCGTCCTTGGACGTCTGGGGTCTCCTGGGGCCTCTTGAGGGGCCTCCTTGGGGCCTTCTTGGGCTCCATCTGGAAGCCAAGATGGATGCAACAAGAGGGTGCTTGGGCTCTCCGTGAGCTATCCTCTGGTTTTCATTCCCCTGGAGAGGAGAAGGAGGAGGAGGAGGAGGAGGAGGATGAGAAGGAGGAGGAGGAGGAAGATGCAGAGGAGGGAGGAGGAGGAAGGAGAGGAGATGTTGGGGCGCTCTTGGGGCCCTCTTGGGCTCTCTTGGGGCTCGTCGGGGCCCTCGTGGGGCCACCTTGGGCTCCTCTCGGAGCTCCAAGAGGAGCCCACAGAGGGGCCCAACATCGGTCACGCGAGAGCTCTTTCGCGTGACCGATGTTGGGGCCCTCTTGGGGCCCTATTGGGCCTCCTTGGGCCCTCTGGGGGTCTCGACGGGGCCCTCGTGGGGCCATCTTGGGCTCCTCTCGGAGCACCAAGAGGAGCCCAAAGAGGGGGCCCAACATCGGTCACGCGAGAGCTCTTCCGCGTGACCGATGTTGGGGCCATCTTGGGGTTCCTTGGGCCTCCTTGGGCCCACGTGGGGCTCCCTCGGGGCCCTCGTGGGGCCATCTTGGGCCCCTCTTGGAGCTCCAAGAGGAGCCCAAAGAGGGGCTCAACATCGGTCACGCGAGGGCTCTTCCGCGTGACCTATGCTGGGGCTCTCTTGGGTCCCTCTTGGGCCTGCTTGGGTCCTCTTGGGGTCTCGTCGGGGCCCTTGTGGGGCCATCTTTGGCTCCTCTCGGAGCTCCAAGAGGAGCCCACAGAGGGGCCCAACATCGGTCACGCGAGAGCTCTTCCGCGTGACCGATGTTGGGGCTCTCTTGGGGCTCTCTTGGGTCCCTCTTGGGCCTCCTTGGGCCCACGTGGGGTTCCCTCGGGCCCCCTCTTGGGCCTGTCTTGGGGCCCTCTTGGGCCATCTTGGGCGCCTCTTGGGCCGTCTTGGGGCCCTCTTGGGCTGTCCTGGGGCCCTCTTGGAAGCTTCTTGGGCCGTCTTGGGGCGGTCTTGGGCGCCTCTTGGGCCGTCCTGTAACGTCGGAAAGCCCAAAAGGCAACTTTGTTGAAAATGTACGTTTTACGAAGGGAATGGGCAAATGTTTGCGTCTAGGGGCCCTCTTGGGACGCATGTTGGAGGCTTCTTGGGGCGTCTTGGGGGCGTCCTTGGACGTCTGGGGTCTCCTGGGGCCTCTTGAGGGGCCTCCTGGGGGCCTCCTGGCGACCTCTTGGGGCGGAAGGCTCGAGCTTGCGGTTCGTGGTCCACCTCTGGGCCCCCTCTTGGGCCCGTCTTGGGGCCCTCTTGGGCCATCTTGGGCGCCTCTTGGGCCGTCTTGGGGCCCTCTTGGGCAGTCCTGGGGCCCTCTTGGAAGCTTCTTGGGCCGTCTTGGGGCGGTCTTGGGCGCCTCTTGGGCCGTCCTGTAACGTCGGAAAGCCCCAAAGGCGACTTTGTTAAAAATGTACGTTTTACAAAGGGAATGGGCCAATTCTTGCGTCTAGGGGCCCTCTTGGGACGCATGTTGGAGGCTTCTTGGAGCCTCTTGGGGGCGTCCTTGGACGTCTGGGGTCTCCTGGGGCCTCTTGAGGGGCCTCCTGGGGGCCTCCTGGCGGCCTCTTGGGGCGGGAGGCTCGAGCTTGCGGTTCGTGGTCCCCCTCTGGGCCCCCTCTTGGGCCCGTCTTGGGGCCCTCTTGGGCCATCTTGGGCGCCTCTTGGGCCGTCTTGGGGCCCTCTTGAGCTGTCCTGGGGCCCTCTTGGAAGCTTCTTGGGCCGTCTTGGGGCGGTCTTGGGCGCCTCTTGGGCCGTCCTGTAAAGTCGGAAAGCCCAAAAGAGAACTTTGTTGAAAATGTACGTTTTACGAAGGGAATGGGCCAATTTTTGCGTCTAGGGGCCCTCTTGGGACGCATGTTGGAGGCTTCTTGGGGCCTCTTGGGGGCCTCCTTGGACGTCTGGTGGCCATCTTCAGCATCTCGGAGCCCTCTTGGAGGCCTCTTGGTAGTTTCTTGGGCCGTCTTGGGCGCTTCTTGGGCCGTCTTGTCTGAC